ATATATAACTTGAAACTAAGCTGGAAAAATAAATATGATTGTCAATGGTAAAGTTTTCCTTTTTTAATTTAATTGGCGCATTTAACGTTTATTTATTTATTGGTCCATTTATACATTTATGCTTTTATTTCTAATTATGCCAGTTCCGGTCCTCCATGATTTATGGGAAAAAATTTTAAACTATAGGAAAGATGAGTGGAAATTTAACTACTATTGCAACTACATCTAAAACCTTTCTTCTTTATGTAACATATCAAAAGCATCTTATAATAAATCTGTGAATTATCTCTATAAGATCTGCATCTAAAAAAAAGTTTATTTGTCATAAACCCTAATGGAATATTTGTGGGTGTTTGTTTGATAATGACACAGTGAGGAAAAATGTAAAATAGAAACATTATGAAATGCTAAATTGTGTTAAAATAACTTTACGGAGTAAAAAAAAAGTATTGTTTCTAGCTGTTTTTGATTTTGGGTATTTTTCTGACTTTTTGACTGATTTAGGATGAACAACATTTTGTTCCTGATTTCCACATGTTTTTATCCTTACTGGAACCCACCCTAAACCCTCCCAAACACCCCCTGTGACGCTGCGAGCCCACTGCTGCTGTCTCAGCAGGCCGAGGTCTGATGATAAAATCRATAAAGAGACTAAGAGGCTTTCCACATTTAAAACTGACCTTCTCCTGCAGCAGCACTCACACTTTGTTTTCACTCATGGCTTCGCTTCAKTGTGTCTGTAAATCCTGTTTTTTTCTCAAACAGAATCATAATGTTTGTTTTTGTTGTTTTTTTGTGTCTCTAACGGCTGACCTGTGTGACCTTCCTGTTTGCTGCTGCAGATCAAAGCGTGGGAGGAGGCAGAGATGGACAAACCCATGGAAATTGATGAGATACGAGTCGACCCTTCACCCTTCCAGCTGGTGGAGAGAACATCGTTACACAAGGTGGGCGTGGGGGGAAACGTCGTCCGTCGTATGTAAACACGTTTGTGCTAATAGACAAAATAAAGGAAAATACATCCTTTTTAAAAACTTATAGTAAAATGCTTAAAATCAAAAGTATTGCGTTTAGAACTGGCAAGTCGTTATGTGTCTGATAAGTTTCTGAGAAATGTGACCAAAACAAAGAACAGTTTTTTACTGAGGGGGATACTGTATTACATAAAACCAACAATCTTTGAATACTGAAGCCTAAATCTAATTTGACAGAAAGAAATAGTGATTATTAGAACTCATTCATATAAAAATCAAGTATTTTTCTGTGAAACCCGTCACATGAATCTCAGAAGAAGCATGCTGGCAGGGTTCACCTTTGCAGAAAGATGTTTTCAGATCTGCCTGTCAGCTTGTTTCATCTTTTAGTACAATTCAGGAAAATCTGTCAAAGCAATTTTGATGTATTNGGAAGACAGTGTGCGGACAAAAAAATAGATGAAAAACAAAAGCCCATGGACATGTTTGTTACTAAATTTCTGTGCTTATACCATTTTATTATATATTTTTTATTTTTGTGTTTAAATGCTTGGATATAAACATGACCTCAATGCATTTGATTTGGGGATTTAAAAATCTGCCACATATTGATGCTTAATTTTTTATCATACGTATCAGTTTTTCCATGTAATATACAGTTGTTATTATTGGATTTGCTTTGACACTCTTATAAAAACATGATCTAGGATTTGCAGATCCTTGCAGGATGCTGGAGCACCTAAACACAGTGTTCCCTTTTTTATTATGCCTTTTGGTGATTTCATTTTCATGGTAATATGAAGAATATTGTGTTCTTTCATGTGCAAAAGAGGCCTCGTGATTGAGCTGTACTGATGCATACAAAGAGCTCGTCCACCGTGTGACCTCAGTTATGAAAACTGTAATTTGTGCGTTCAGAATTCACTCAAAGACTTTTCTTCTTCTTTCTTTCTCTTCTGATTTGGGTTCTGTCTCTTTGAGKCTGAGCGGAGCCAACAAATAAGCAGAGTAAATGATCTGAATCAGACACAAACCTGAAGACTTGTTGAACTTTTTCTCYGCAGACCCACACGTTGTTCTCACTGCTCGGACTAAGTCATGCTTATGTAACCAGCATCGGCAAACTCGTGGGGGTGGTGGCACTCAAGGAGGTAAGAAACCTAACTTATTCGTTAATAACATAAGTCAGTGACTGTTTCTCGATTCATGGGTTGCAGTCTACGTGGACCGCTGTCGACGTTAGCCACAGTCTACGTAGGCCGCTCATGTCGGCTAAATAAACAGCAGTGAAATGAGACCGTCTAGTTTATGGAAGACATATCTTTGACCACACACTGCCTCATTACCATGATGTTTATATCACATCGCTTTACATGTTTTATTCAAGGTATAACTTCAGGAAATTCAGTTTTAATAGAAAAACGTTGCATATGTATAAATAAAAGTATTAATAATTTGGGTTTAGCCCCAGTTTCAGTACTTGTAACTACGTTTATTAGGGTTTGGCATATGAGTAGAATGAGAGAGCTGAGGAAGGCACTGCGAAGCTGTCACATACTGGAGCTCAGAAAGAAAAAAAAAGATGGCCACCAATGCTATTTCGGCCACTTTTTTTCCACTGAAAATGCGTAGAGCTGTTTTCATACACCAAGAACTCTTGAAATGTTTATAAATCTTTAGGGCATTTTGCACCTTTTGCTATGGTTCTGTTTTTTCCTAACTTCTTTGTGCTAACTTTAGTTTCTTTGCTAATGTTAAGTTTTTTTATTTATTTTTATTTTTTGCTATTTCAGTTATWTAGCTATTCTTCTGCTAATGTCTACTTTTTTGTGTTTCCTTCATCTTTCTACAAATTTAGCCAAGAACAARCTTTGACAAATTCTGTATGCTAAATAAAAATTTAAGATAGCCATAAAAGCTAAAATGCTAAATTAACCATAGCTCAGCCATTTTTAGCCATATTGAGGTAAAATTTGGTGTGGTGGGTGGACAACTCCTCAAAACTCTGTTGAAAATAACACTGCAACAAGAGGCAAGCCCTTTCATAGTTTCTCCAGACAACTCTAGTTTAACATCTCATTGCAACAACACTTTATTCAGCTAAGTTGCTAAACTTACATTCTTCAGTCCGTTACAAATTTCTAAACTTCGCTGTAAAGGAAAAAACTCTGTCATTGTTTTTTGGTTTAACTGACTGACAGTGCAGTGAATTCTGGGATACCGTCAGCCGTGCAGGATACTCAGATTCTGTCGGCCACATTTTTCAGCTGCTTGAGTAGGCGCCTATGAATTGGGACAGCCTACGGCGCGGGGCAGACGAGGCCGACTAATGTGGCTRACGTTGCTGCAACCCATGAACTGAGACRCGGCGAGTGTCTCACTCTGCAGCAACTGKTGTTAACTAACAAATTCATGAATTCAGGCAAATTCGGAAAAGACAGTTGTTCTCTGCAACTCTTATCTTCTGTCGTCTCTTCTCTTTATTGGTTCTAATCCCTACTTTCCTGTCTGACTCAAAAAAGCTCCAGAAGGCCATCGAGGGCTCCACGCGCTCCGGCGTCAGGCTCCGCCCTCCTCTGGCCAGTTTTCGTGACATCAGCAACCACAAGTCGGTTCCTAAACCTCCACCTCCGTCTTCCTCTTCATCCTCAACCTCCCCGTCTTCGCCTCCAGTTTTCCCAGAGGCTCCGCCTCCCTCCTCAGCCTCCGAACACAACCACCATCCTCCTCATGATCATGAGGCCGAGGTGTGGATTGAGGGGGTGACGGGGGAGACGGGGGAGAGCAGCAGCGCCTCCGGCAGCAGCAGCACGAGGGGGAGGAGCTGCAGCTACAACAGCGACCACACCCTCCCTCCATCCTCCACTCCGCCTCCTCCTCCAGACCCTCCTCCTTCTTTCATCCCTCTGTCCACCCTGAGACCCTCACAGAGACTTGATGAAGCAGAGGACGACAGCGACGATGAGCCGATGGTTTAGCTTTTTAACATTTTTTATAAGGAAAACTTTTTTTAAATTTGTTTTTTTTCTGTTCTTAATTTCTTCTTCTGGTTTTTAGACCATCAGTGCGTCTGTTTTTATCACTCTGTTGTGGTCGGAAAGTTTCCGTCTCCTTTCGAATTCTCATCTTCTTCCAYATTTTCTTATTTTCTTGCTAATATAACTTGGTCATAACAGAAAAACGAGGAAACGAATGTGTGACAACCAAAACTGTCAAACATTATCCTTTTTTCTTACATCTTTGTGTGATGAGTAACAAAGCCTATCAGAAACATCTAAAAAAAATTGAGAATAATAAGCAATAATTAGAAAATAATAAGATAATTGATGGAGTTTCTGTCACYATAAAAATAAGTTAATTTTGGCTGCCAAAACAACAAAAACAGTAAATTCACTCTTCAGTTCTTCTTTTGTTTGACTGTTTATGTCGGACGAATCATGCTTTTTCAATCAAATAAAAACAGGAACCATTGATTTTGTTTCCCAACCGTCCGTTTTGAGCAGCAGTAATAAAGCTGCTCAGTCCACTGCGGAGGATTGGCCGAAGCTCCACAACAACAACCTCTAAACTGTGTGCTGACCTTGTGTCTGCAGCCTGAGAGCTCATCTCATCACCGCTCGGCTGAGAAATGAAGCAGCTAAAGATGGATGACAACAGCTAAACCTCTCCACACTCGTCCTGGTTTTTGTTTTGTTTTGTTAAACTAAGATGTCCCTCAGGAAAAAAAAAACACAAATTAAAATCACAACGATCTTATTGTACAAATCAAACATCTGCTGCAGCTTTCACAAAATGAGGACTCRTGTTTTGGACAGTGATTGACAGCTGACAGTTTTTTTTGCATAAGACCTTCCTACAGAATATAAGATGTTGATTAATGGAAATTTGTAAGCTAATATTTTTTAGTATGAGACTCGTAGTAGGCTTCACTGAGTTATATTTAAAAATAAAACTTAGGGATGACCACAGGAAGGTCATAAATTAGTTATTTCTCATCCGGTCTTTTAAACTTGAGTTAACTCAAAATAAAGTAGAAATGTTTAATCTACTGAGCTGCTTTGGATTAGTTGCATTTGTTTATTGTTTGTTTTTATGTTTTCTTTTATGATGTTTTTATCCGCTCATCTCTGATTCTCAGGTGCTGCCTTGAAAGTCTTTAAATTTACATAACAACAAAAGGTTTTTTGCATAATTTGCTTTCTGTACCTTAAAGAGGAGTTGAATTGTCACAGGGCCTCTGTCTTGTTTTGCGTATTTATTTATTTACATATTTATTTGTGTTTTAGTTGGAGTCCTGAACACTTCTAAAACTGTGAAAGATGAATGGCGTAGCCAAATAAAATTTTATGTAAAGTTGAAACTTGAATGGAGCTGTCCTTGTCTGTTTTGAGAAATTATTCATCCAGTTTAGGACTGTTTAAAGTATGTATACTGTATGCATGTGAGAGATAAAATAAATGTATGTGAGAGCTAGAATATACAGTAGGTATGTGAGAGTGGCAGAATGGTTTATGG